TATATATATATATATATATATATATATATGTATATATATGTATATGTATATGTATATATATATGTATGTATATTGTCAAACTATAAATTCATCTAACTGTAGTTGAATAAAATCATAAGTATCATTTGCATCCAAAACATTTCTTTTTAATAATTTTAAATTTTCTGCAAAACAGACTTTTATATTTGAAATACAATATATATAAATACTTAGAATTTAGATACTTCATATAAAAGGATCTAATCTAAGAATCATATATCTGGGTGCAGCTCCTTTATGGTAATATTCTTAAGCCAATCATTGTCCACTGAGATATATTTTTTAAGATTCAAATGTGAAACGCTCTCTGAAATGTTCTGTTGAATAAATTAGCCTGTCACTTTTGTCAGTCTTCCTGAATTTTTCTCCTAAAGTCACATAATCTCTCCCTATTGGACAAGATATTACCATTAATAGCAGACACATTCAGAGACACTCAGCTTGAGAAACTGTAGTCATAAGTCTAGCAGTAATATCTGTGGTAGTCTTTTCAAAGCCTCTTTCACTTCCTTGTTCCTCAGACTGTATATGAGGGGATTGACCATAGGAATGAGAATGGTATAGAATAGAGAGAAAAGTTTGGTTGAACCTCTTATTAGTGAGTCATCTGGCAGGAGGTAAACAATCATTAATGATCCATAGAAAATGGTGACAACAATTAGATGAGAAGAACAAGTGGAAAATGCCTTTTGCCTCCCAAATGTTGAAGGGATCCTCCAAATGGCCAAGATAATGAAAATATAAGATGCAATTGTCAACATAAATAAAGGAAATGTAAATACAGTACATAACAGAAAGGCTATTTCGATAAACAGTGAAGTATCACCACAAATTAACTTACTCAGAGGGACAAAATCACAATAAAAATGGTCAATATAATTGAAGCCACAATATGTTAACTGTGCCATCCATGTGACCACTATTGAGACAGAAAAACCACCACCTAACCAAGAGCCAATTGCTAAAGAGATACACACCTTCTTATTCATACAGAAATGATAGTGTAGTGGTTGGCAAATTGCTAAATACCTATCATAAGACATTACAGACAGAAGACATGTTTCTGTAGTCACCAGGAACCCAAATACATACAATTGAGTAAAACAACCAGAAAATGTTATATTTCTGTTCCCTGTTATGAAGCTGAACAGCATTCTGGGCATGATGGTTGAGGTATAGCAGATCTCCAGACAGGATAGGTTTCCCAGGAAAAAATACATGGGGTTATGAAGATGCCTATCAGTCACTACCAAAATAACAAGGAGAAGATTCCCAGTCATGGTCATAAAATAAATGATAAGAAACAGTAAAAAAAATAGAATCTGTAGTTCAGACTGATCTCCAAATCCCAACAATATGAAGCCTGTGATGATGGTTTTGTTTTCCTAAAGGAAAAAGTTTTTATATAAATATTAAAAAGTATATCAAAATGCAAAATTGCAATGCATGCATGAGGAAAATTATTTACATAATTTACATAATCTTATATATACAGTATGTACATTTCATCAGTTGGAGTTGAATAAGAAAATATCAATCTAGATGGATGTCTTTTTGACTCCTTTGACTCTCACTGTAGACATATAGAACGATATTACCTGTATCTAAATTGTACAGCAGTATGAAATATAGGAATATCTGTAAACATAATGCTAATATTACCATATCTAATCTTCCAGAAGCTATGGGTAATTTTATAATATTGTGGTCATATTGTTGACCTAAGTTTCTGAATTCTTACCAAATTCATTGATAAGGTAGTTCAGTATGTATCTGAACAACAAAGTTACCTGCTTCCTCAGAAATATGCAATATATCTAATTTGTTCATAACTGATTGTTTTTTTCTCTAAAGAGAATTTTAGGCTCCTGAGCCAATATTCTTATGGGTATTCTTTTAATATGTCATAGGGATTTCTTGGCACATTTACTTATTCAATATTTCCATTTTCTTGGAAATATTTGGTAGGAAATGAATAATGAAATAAAGATAACTTCTTCCATTTGAGTTGATCTATTATTTTCTTGAGAAGTAAAGAAATGTCACTACCTTTTCACATAAACATTGGAACAGCACATTAAACAAAGTGACATATTGGAAAGAATTTTAGAACCTTGTCTCTCTCTATGCCTAATTCCCTGACTCTTTCTTCTTCAAATATAAGTTCTTATCTATGTGTGATAACAGATATGTGACAAATTAATGATTGTTCTATTCATTAAAACAAAGGACACATATGGAGAGGGACACAAAGCACACATAAAGATTCATCCTAGTGATTTGGAGATCATATACAATTAAGAAAATAAACAATTATTAAATGAAACCATAATAGAAAGTGGATATAATCAACGGCAATCATACTAAATTTTCATAAAGCTTGTATTAGGAGATTTGCATATATCTTCATATTCATATTATTTTTCTACTTTCTACTTACTATCTTTGAAATGGATTGATGCAATGGGGTCTAGAACACATGAATAATAATTTCAAAGGCATATCCAAAATTTCCAGATTAGTAATAAGATATGTAATGAAATTTGATCTGTTTTTTATATCAGTATTATATTAATTGCTATTTTCTTCATATAAGAAATAAAACTACCATAACCTTACTAGGTAAAAATTACAATGCATAATGCATTTATTGGGAACTAACCATTTAAAATCTATATCATTAACTTCCAAGTAGACATATACAGAATTGCATTCAGAAATAAAGTTACATAGTAGCAAAGTATTTCTTGCAATTTGTTCCTGCAATTTGTTTCTGACACATGAGATTGTCATGTTTGCATTTCTTTTATTAATCATTTTCTTTATTTGAAAATAGTGGGATATAGATACATTGTTTTAATCTTGTTTTTATATATTTCTCTTTTTTGTATTTCAATTAAACTATCATAATTAAAATTGAAAAAAAATTATAATAAAAAGAAAGCAAATATTGATTAAATAAGATTGATTAAACATTGATTAAATAAGACTAAGATTATTTCTCTTTTCACTTTAATTAAAGCCACTATTTGTCTGGCTTGTTCTTTGCCATGTTGCCATTCTAACTAAATATCTCAAGGACTAGAGGAGGAGGGAAGATAGGAAATAATTTAGATCATATTTATCCAGAAATGTTAAAAAAATTAAAAGGGTTAATACATTTTTAAGCATCATCAAAATTGCAAATCTTTTTGCATCCCTGGTATGAAATTTCCCAATTTCATTAAGGGTAGAAAAACTCATTTTAGTGATATCAGTAGAAGAGGAAGACTAATACATTCACTATTTTCCTCTTTCATTTCTAACCATAAAATTGTTAGATTGATCAAACAACCAGAACATATGTTTTATTTCTAATATAGACATTTGCTACTGAATTTCAAAAGGTATTGAAAGCTAAGAAAAATATGCAAGGGATATGAATATGCTTTATTGGCTGCACAAAGCTCACCCTTGAACAAAACAGGCAAACAATGCTTTTCTTGCCAAGTAGCTCATAAAAGCAAACCTAATGTTTTAAGCAAAACAATCATAGGCCTTTTGCAATGATTAACTCTATTTGCACAACTCACAAGTATCCAGAGTTGTATAGGCATCTTGACTTCCATTGACAGGGCCAGGAGTGGGATTCTATCGTTTTGGACTGGTTCTATTGGAACCGGTTGTTATGATTCTGTGCAGTTCAGAGAACTGGTAAATCATGTCCCTGGCTGACCCCTCTCCTCCCCATCCAGTCAATCCTTATCATGCATGTGTGACATTGTGCAAATGCCCGACATCGTTGACTGCATTCTCCCCCACTCAGTCACTCCTTAAGGTATTTTTTTTTTCCTTTTGACAATCAGCTGTTCCGATGATCAGCTGTGCTGGGACCCCCCTTGATGTCTTACTGCTTCACCCAGGAAACTTTCCTGAGGCCCAGGAGGCAAATAGGGGTGCACGGGGAGGTGCTGCAAAAAGAAGAAGAAGAAGAAGAAGAAGAAGAAGAAGAAGAAGAAGAA